TCATTTATCTTACATGATATATGATTATTAATGTCATCCATGCATACATCTTTCAGCATATGCAATAACTTACTCTTGCAGACACAGTAAAAAAAGTATACAAAATATAAAAAATATTTGTTTTTCACTTGATTTTCCTCATGCATCATATAAATATAGAGATAAAACCAGAAATGATAAATGCAATGAATATTCATATTAATTAGCTGACTAAACATGAAACTTAATGAAAATATACCACTCAACATTATCCACAGTATATACTTTCAAATCACTAAGCATTATCTGCAGTAAAGGAAAGACTAGACATTAAGTGTAAATACAATACATACTTCCAGACCACTCAGCATTATCCACAGTAAAACAAACACTAGTGTAAATTAAACATTTTTCTTCAGCATCAGTACACTTATCATGACACCCACTTCAATCAATGCAGGAATGACAGAGGTAAGCCCAAATATCCACCAGTAAAGCCTGCAGTCCCAAGAATCCACCACCATATATGCCAAGCTGACTGAAGCTCCACAATGGCAGGCAATAGCTGGAATCAAGTTAAGGAAACTATGCAATCACCTATTACCCTGTAAGTAAAGATACATTGAAGATACAATGAGAACAATACAGCCCAAGGAAATTAAAATCTAAACAATATTTTCTAAGAGATAAAACAATTACAATCTAAAAAAAAAATAATGTGTGAAATTTTTTATCATCATTATTATCATCTTCATTATCATTGTCATTATCATCATTATTATTACTTTTACTATTACCATTATTACTATTAATATAATATTAATGAAACAAAAAAACAGATGCCAAGAGAGTGTGACATTTGCAAACAGATTTAAATGTAATGCTTGTTTTGATGTCATATTTTTTTTCCTTACTGGAATCAAGCAGGTTCAAGAGTCTAGGAAGAATAGATATCATCTTTTTTGCAATTAGATAAAAAAAAATCTGTACTGATAGTATACAACAAATATATGTGATGTTCACTGTAGTTTTGTTTTGTGAATTTACATATAGATGGCTTCACAAGTCCTCAGCCACCAAGAGGTAATCTATGTGATGTCACCTAATTTCCACCTTCCTTGAATTAACATCAATGCTATTATTATCATTACTGATATCTTAATTATTATAATATTATCAATAATACTAATATCAGTATATAAAAAAAATTATTTCTGAAAATCAAGGACAAGGGTAAAAAGGACAAGGGTAAACAGGTGAGATACGTAAGAATAATAACCGGCTCACTTGTATCGCCATCTATGTTTAATTACAATAAATAAACTTGTATTACATTGGGTATTGCATGTATTCTTGTCAAATGGGGTGAATGGGTTAAGATGTATTGATAGACTCAAATAAACTAGTACATCAAATGTACTAGTCAAATTTCCAGTGCAGGAGCCTGAAGGAGACTGAAACATTAGCATATATGAGAAAACATGAAGTTAGTTATACTAAAGTTAAAAGAAAAGTGGAATGTTTGACACACAAACTGCTGCAGCAGTAACTAACATCACCCATAGTAATGTCAGTCAACAGCTTACAGCTGCAGCAAAGAAATTGCTGAACTGAAACAAACTGTTATAGAATTAAACTTTAAAATATATCAACTGACTAAAGTGATTGATCAACCCAGCATAAACATCCTAAGAAGGCTGATACCGAATCACAGTCTGGATTGCACCTCCCCATCCAAGCGACTCCTGTGAGGACTCCTGGCTCGTGATCGGTTTCTTGAGAGAGAAGCAGGTCGCAATCTGTCAGTCGACTCCTTCATCAGGAGATGCAGGACATGGAGGCTTCTGTGTCCAAACCATCCCAAGGAGAGGAGATACCTCCATCCCATAAAAAGAAAATAAAAACTGGCAGACAAGGCACTTCTAAACCCCATAAAACTTAATCTTCGCATCAACCATTATAGAATGGAACTGTTAAAGTCTTAGATCTAAAGTAAATGACCTTAAGCTATTAGCCTTGTCCTATGCTCCCTATATTACAGCTCTCCAAGAAAAACACTTAACACACCTCGTCACTGACGAGGTAGTTTCGTTAAGGAACTACCATTTATGTCAGAGGGACCATGAGGGTAGGGGTGGAGGTGGAGTTGCCATGTACATCCACCAAAGCCTCCCTTTTACTGAAATGACAATTGATTCTACTTTCCTGCAAAGTAAAAATTAATGGCATGTATCTGACTATGTGTTCAGTTTATTGTCCACCTGATAATGTGATAATCTATGATGAGCTCTTTGCTCTTCAGGATAGTTTGCCACAAAATAAATGAATTTAAGGTGATTTTAAAGCTCATCATACGTTATGGAGTTTCCTGCGGGTGGATGGTAGAGGTGAGTAAGTAGTTAAATTGATTAATGATTCTGATCTGATCCTTCTGAACGATGGTAGTCCAATGTGGGTGGACAATAAACCGGTAATTTGAGCTTTGTTGACATATTACTGTCACTTTATCAATAAGAGCCAAGCGCCTGTGGACGACTTGTTGAGAAGCAATCATCTTCCTATTTTTATTGAATATTCATGCAACGCAGCAAGAATACCTTCAGCACCTAAATTTAATGTAAAACGAGCAGACTGGGCCACCTTCACAAGGAGCACCAAGCTCGAACTTGCTGGAGAAACCATTGATGATAAAGTTAAAAATATTCAGAATTTCATTTTAGATGCAGCAAAGATATCCATTCCTAAAACTTTGACAGATAGCATTAAACATAGATTTCCATGGTGGACACCAGCCAACACAATAAGACTTACAGGCTTTTCAAAAATAATATCAATAACAAAATAACTTTTGCAATTACAAACAAGAGCTAGGACACGTAGAATAACAAGACAAGCAAGAAGAGACTCCCAGAGGAGCTTTGTCTCTACAATAAATACCAATAAAACATCAGAAGTTTGGTCCACTGTTAATAAATTAAATAAGAAAAAAAAAAAACATCTTCTAAAATTAGAAACATCATTCATGAGAGTAAAAACTTCACCTAGAGACATTGCTAATGCACTCACCAGGCAGTTCTCTTACACAAGCAGTCCATAAAATTACCATCCCACATTCCTGACCACCAAGGAAGTGGCTGAGCTGCAACTTATTCACTTTGGCACAGTTGATGACTTTGATTTAAATTAAGATCTAATAATGGATGAGATTGTCCAAGCCCTACAAACCTGTGGAGGAACATCTCCAGGCCCCAATGAGATTCAGTATGAGATGATGAAGCATCTTAATCACGATGCCATGATTAAGTTGCTAGAAGTGTACAATGAAATTTGGAAGAGCCACACTTTTCCAAACTCATGGCACTTTGCCCACATCATTCCCATATTGAAAGGAGGGGGAAATCCCAGATCTGCCATTTCCTACTGCCCAATTGAACTGACAAGTTGCTTATGCAAGGTCATGGCACGAATTGTTAACAGTAGGCTATTACATTTTTTTAATACCAGTTATTTACTTGTTGATGAGCAGTCTTCTGAAAGGGACGCCAAACTCTTGATCAACTAATAAAACTGGAAAGTCATTTTCAAGAGACATTAGCCAAAAAACATTTTTTGATTTAAGTATTCCTAGATATAGAAAAAGCCTACGACATGACATGGCAATATGGCCTAATCAGAAAACTATGCTTTTGGATTACGTGGAAACCTGCCTTGTTTTATTCAAAACTTCATTTCTGATAGAACTTTTGCTGTCAAGTTGTTTTCTGACAATGTCACTTTTTCAGACATTTTTGTCCAGGCAAACAGGATCCCACAAAGAAGTGTCATGTCACCATAAAAACTAACTGTACACTAATGATTGTGCATTATGGCATTCCAGCAGTAATGCAGAATTCTCAGCAAATTGCATCCAACTGGCACTGGATGTGATTCATAACTAAGGCCTCCATTGGGGTTTTAAATTTTCCACAAGAAAGAGAATTGGGCAATTTTTTCCCATAACAAAATGCCAAACATCTGGCTAACTTTAGATAATCACCCAATACCTATTCAAAATTCTGCTAAATTTCTTAGTCTACTCTTTGATCATAGACTCAATTGGAAAGACCACATTGGTCAGTTAAAGAATAATGTCAAAGAACACTAAATTTAGTAAAGTGCATTGCTGGAAATAAATGGGGAGCTGATAGAAAGTCTTTGCTAATGATATATAAAGCCCTGATTAGGTCTATAGTAGATTATGGGTCAATCGTGTATGGCTCGGCATCTAACTCAAGTTTGAAAGGTTTGGATGCTGTGCAGAATGCTTGTGTGTGACTGTCTTGGAAATGCAATGCAAACACACTTGTATCGAGCGTCTTGAGGTGGAGTCAGGAGTTCCTCCCCTACGATTCAGATGTGGCCAGTTAGCACTGACCTATGCCACTAAGGTGGCTCAAGAGCCAAGCCATCCCAATGGCGATCGAGGCATTAGGCCCTTTGCCATGCAACTCCACGACCTCATCGAGAAAGTCAGTATAGATCTCTCTACCATTGATACCCTGATTCAGTCAAACATAGTGCCATGGGTAACCCCTAATTTTTCCATCATGGAAGCCTGGCTTCCATCAGCTAAGGCCATGGCGCCGGAAGCGGAGGTATGCTAGAGGTTCAGAGAGATCCTTATTAAACACCTCCCTTTTTTTCATAAATAAACCGACGGCTCCAAGATAGATGAATGTGTGGGTGCAGGTGTATGGTTGACTGAATGTGAAATGAAGTTCAGACTGACAAATCATACATCAATCTTTCTTACTGAAATTTTTGCTATTGATAAAGCTTTAGATTTTGCACTATCGAGGACCCACAATAGAATAGTTATTTTTTCAGATTCACTAAGTTCACTTAAGGCCATAAAATCATTACAAACCATAAAATCATTACAAACCACTAAAATTGAAATACTGGGTAATATCCTTCATAAGCTACATGGTGCCAACAAATCAATCAAGCTAATATAGGTACCAGGATCCATAGCATTGAACAGGCTAACAAATTAGCTGGGTCAACTGGTGATCTGGACATTAACATAGTTTGTACAGATCTCAGGTGTTTTTTGTATCTCTTATAAAAGCAAAAATACATCTCCTGTGGCAAAGTGAGAGGACCAACCTAGACATAAACAACAAAAATAAAACAGTAATAGAAATATGGGACACAGCCCACAGAAGAAACAGAAAAGAAGAGGTGGTGTTGGTGCACCTGAAAATAAATGCCACCAAAATCACACAGCTCACACCATATATAGAAAAAAATATCCAACACAGTTCCCCCATTGCACAAATCACCTAACAATAACCTATCTCTTCATAACCTGCCATAAATACAACAATAGACAAACCTTTAAAAATTATTGCAGAATTAAAAATATACCATTTACAACATCAAACCTTTTATCAGACAATAAAAAAATAATATTTAAAGTAATTACTTTTCTAAGGGAGACAAAACTTTATGATCTTATATAGACTGATATAATGAATAGGATCCATTGGCATAATAACCTTAGCCACATCCCCAGCAGCAAGAACAGGAACCTCCTGGAGCATCCTTGCAACACTATTTTGGGTTGTGATATCTATGAGAGAGAGAGAGAGCGAGAAAGAGAGAGTGAGACAGAAAGACAAAGAGAGACAGAGATAGAGTGAGAGTGAGAGAGAGAGAGAGAGAGAGAGAGAGAGAGAGAGAGAGAGAGAGAAGACAGAGAGAGAGAGAGAGAGAGAGAGAGAGAGAGAGAGAGAGAGAGAGAGAGAGAGAGAGAGAGAGAGAGAGAGAGAGAGAGAGAGAGAGAGAGAGAGAGAGAGAGAGAAGGAGAGAGAAGGAGAGAGAAGGAGAGAGAGGGGGAGAGAGAGAGAGAGAGAGAGAGAGAGAGAGAGAGAGAGAGAGAGAGAGAGAGAGAGAGAGAGAGAGAGAGAGAGAGAGAGAGAGAGATCATTTGGACCTAACGCTGGCAGGGGCGCATAGCCACATCCACCCTTCGCTTCCCCCTGTGAGGGTCTCTCGTGGCGAGCCACCAGGCAGGGGCCCGGCTCATCTCTAGTTCCTCACAACAGGTTTAATCGATCTGACCTTCTTGGTCGTCCCACAGGCCTTCTCCACCCGAGGTTGTCTCAGACAGAGACAACCTGGTGGGCAGGGTCATCCTGCGGTAGTCGAGCCAAGTGGCCGTATAGCCTGAGTTGACAATCACGGATTGTACAAGTAACAGGTCCTGTGCTGGTCTCATGAAACAAGAGAAACACACAGACACAGAGAGAGAGACACACAGATACAGAGAGAGAGACACACACAGATACAGAGAGAGACACACACACAGACACAGAGAGAGAGAGACAGACAGACAGACATACACTCACTCACTAACTCACACATGCACACACACACATGTATATGTGAATATTTGTATACATACTCCTACTTATTATGACAATCATTTGGCAATTAGAAAAATGCATTCCTATATATAAATCACCTCAATTTCCTTCATCCATGAGTTTTAACTGATAGATAGTTGCAAAAGATTAAAAATAACCTGGAGTCAAACATAAATAAATGAATTTCACAAATAAATAATCAAAAACATTTTTTAAAGGATACATATAAGGGATGCAAGACCTGTGAACATTGATATGCCTGTCATAAATCCTATGATCTCAATTGCTGTCAGTCCAACACCAGCAATCAAACCACCAAGAAATCTGAAAGAAAAAGAAAAAAAAGAAATAGAATCACTGAAGTAAAATTTTTTGCTAAACAACTGAAAAAAAAATTATAAACCACTAATGATATAAGTGACATTAAATGTTAATATTGTTTAATACATATCCATCTGAATCAGATACAAATGTTTCATTTCTCAAAGTTATCAGAACATTAGTTACTAGTTATGTGACCTGAGAAATGAAACAAAGATCTTCAATATACTTATGTCTTTATATAAAAATTATCTATACCTGAAGAGGAAAAAAGGCATTAGAATAACAATGAATATCTAATTCCAGTTTTTTTAATGCAATAATCTGCATGTCCCCTATGGAGAAAAAAGTCTAAAAATAGAACAGTGAAGAAGATAAGGAAAATAAGAGATGGTGATGAAAAGCAGAAATAATATGAAGACAACCAGAAATAAAAAAAAATGGATAGAATGAACAAATCATATATTACCCGAGAATATGCAAAGTTAATCCCTATCCAACAAAATTCTCAAACAATGGTAAATAAAAATCCATGGACATAAAGATATTAATATCATATCAAGCTATTATAGCCAGGTACATGCACTGTCCAATGTAGTTTCTTTTTTGTTAATTTTGTTTATACAAAAATAGCTTTACATGCACTTACTCACGTATCTGGGTACCTGTTTACCTTATTCTTTGAATCTTCATGAAAAGAAACTTTTACTTTTAATAATATAATAATTTTCATTACCATTTCATTATCATTATCATTATTAACATTATCACTTTAAATATTAATATTATTATCATTATTTTTATTATTACTGTTATCACCATCAAAATTACTATAATCAACACATTACTGACATTAATAGTAGTAAAAAAATATATATATATTCTCTTTCTACAATTTCAAGGAATGGGATAAACAGGTGAGATTAGGTAGGCCAAATAATCCTACCTCCTTGTGACTACATAAATGTAGAGCCATTTATCTGTAAACAAAATTAATAAACTAGAATCACAGTGAACTGGGCATATATCCATTCATCTTCGACAGAAGGGTACTTAAAAAGCAATGACATGTTCAAAAAAAGACTTTGATTATATGAGCATATCTGAAGGGGCGCTATACAAATAGGTGGCCAAAATAATTCCCTATATCACTGGAATGTTACTAAAGTTGCTGTCTAAAAAAGGAAATATTGGTTTACCTTTCATCTGACACTATATTTTATAAAAAACAACTGCAGAGAACCAGAAGAATATGAAAAAAATGGTAAATAAGGGAAAAAAGGTAGGGATAATGATGCTGATAATATAGCTGAGGGGCACTTTATAAAACTGAAAATGAATGCTTGAAATCTGAAGTATCCTACAACTTCAATTCAAAACTTTTCCTTTTTGATGTTAGGAGATTTTTTTATAAGTATTATGCAATTACTATCTCTTGGTACAAGAACAACAATACACATTTCTATTTCAATCTGAAATAGAAATTGCAGCACCTTATCAGGCAGCTAAAGTTTTAGTTTTGTTGATATAAAAACTACAATCCTGAAAATAATTGTGGAACCCATTTGAGGTCAAATAACTAGATGAGAAAGTGTATTGCTTTGGTCAACTCAGTCGCCTTTACCCACTTGATATGAAAAGAGGAGCCTACACCAACAGGGTGGTCAGACTTTATGATAGTCAAGAACCCTTTACCGCAGATTTGGATTTGGTAATAACAGTGCCTATCTATGAGATCCTCTACTATACCTGGTGAAAAGATTTACCAGATTTCAGAAAAAGGAGTACAGAAAACAGAATGTGGTGATGCTATGTAACAGACATAATATGAAGACATGTATATGTGTGTGTGTCTGTGTATGTGTTTGTGTATGTGTGTCTGTGTATGTGTATCTGTGTCTGTGTGTCTGTGTCTGTGTGTGCGTGTGTGTGTGTGTGTGTCTGTGTCTGTGTGTGCGTGTGTGTGTGTCTGTGTCTGTGTGTGCGTGTGTGTGTGCCTGTGCGCGTGTGTGTTTTACAAAGTATAATTCACTACTGCTGGGTATTTTGGAATTCAAGCTGGCCATATGTTACTGCATGAAATGGGTGAAATCACATTAGACCAAGTACACCAAAATACAAAGAAAATTATTAAGTATATCAGCCTTGTTCTTTGTAAGGATGATAAGTGGAAATGGGCAAGAATAATTGCACAAATCTCTCCTCATGGAACATGTTGTATTGAGTGCTAGTCCAAGGCTAGAGAAGGCTGTTAGATACTAAACATATGCCTGAGGCATGACATTTAGTCAGGTCATTAAGCATAAGTCCAAAATTATTCATAACATCCCATCCGGTCATCTATTATCAAGGGAATAAAAGCAATTTTCTTTTATCTATTGAATATTACAATGTTTCTCAATGTATTTTTTATCCTCATATTGTGTAAAACACTATCATCTGCTGTTAATGAATGACAACAGCGTCTGATACCTAAAATTTTATACAAATTATAGGTATATCACAAAACATGCAACTTTGTAGTTGGCAACCTATCTAATTTGCAAGCCTCACCTGATAATGCTCAATGATTGCAAATTATACTTCTTACATGTTAATTTGTTGAGGGAAAGTAGGCCAAAAATGACATTTTCTACTCTGATATTTCATATCACAATGCATTTATATATACTAGTGTGACTCATTATTGTAGTTCTAGATTTGGCAGAACTCTGCTACCCAACACCATCGCTGACCAGGTTTTTCTTATAATTATGTCTACCAATAAAAAGAGAGGAAACTGTCTATTCTTCACACATGTAATTCTATTTACCTGTTTTATTCAGTACATATTTTTAGTTAATCCAGTATTTTACTTTTTAAAAAATAGGTACTGGAAATAGACCGTGGTTATTATGGAAAAATAACACCCTGAAGAAAACTCAAGTCATTTAATGAAATATAAAGGACTGAAGTAAAAAAATGGTAGTGACAGGCATAGCAAAGGAAAGAAAGTGTACCAAGCCCTGAGCAATGATTTAGAAGCTTTATGAAGAACAAGAGATAGGATGAAATGATGATTATGATGATCAAAGGCCCTTTTCTAATGACTAAAGATTTTAGCACATATGGCAACATAATTCAATGAAGTTGCATAAACAGGCTTTTGGAAATTCTCCAGGCTTTATTCTTTTACTTTCCTGGATTTAAATGGAAAAAAGTATTTGACCCTCCTTATTCAATATTGTCAAATCAAATGAGGTGAAAAAAATTTATTCATATTCACTTACTCTCCTTCTCTTCTTCTATAC